TAAAAATTGGAGATCTGGCTCTGATTCGCGATGAACGCGCACCCCCCACACAATGGCTCTTGGGCCGGACTGAAGAAGTGCACGCTGGTGATGATGGGATTGTTAGGGTGGCAACAATTCGCACCAAATCATCTTTGATCAAGCGAGCCATCTCAAAATTGGTTATCCTTCCAATAGAAGCTGGCACCGATGAGACATATGGTGGGCGGCCGCACGGTGAGCTCCTTTTTTCGTCCACATTGGACGAGGTGGGCGGGAATGTTCAGAATCAATCACTACACTAAAAGTGCGATGGCAACTCCTTAACATTTTGCTTTTGTGTTATTCTAATCTACTGTCATTGCTATTGCTTAGGTCTTGTTCTTTTTTCTCTCAGCACGAAAAGCACATGTGCTAAGTCGATAATTGCAATAAAATTACATTATTACAGATCAAACTGCTTGCTTATTGTTTAAACAAGGCTATCAAATCTAACACACACCCTCTGACGTCATTACTGAAGAAAGGAAGCCGATGGAAATGGGGCAATGAGAAGCAGACGGCCTTTGAAAAATTAAGGAGCGCAATGGCTGAATGCGATCGAGAGTCCCTCAGGACGCATTGCAAGATGGGCACTAGAATTCCAGCAACATACATTCGATGTAAAGTACCGCAAGGGGAAGTTGAACATCGTTGCCGATGCTGTGTCACGACAACCCCAAGACGTACAGCTCAACATATTAGTGCAGAATAAAGAGGCAACGACCTGCAAGTGGCTGACCGAGAAAATGGCAGAGGTGAAGAGGACACCAGAAAAGTTCCCGGACTACACAATTGTAAACAACGAACTGTATCGACACATCGCAGTCCAGATGGATGATGAAGACACGATACCGTGGTAGCTAGGCGTGGCAGCGCCACTACGTGAGAGAGTACTGAAGGAGTTCACGATAGTCCAAGCGCAGGACACATGGGCATCCGCAAGACGATAACGAGAGCGACGGCACGTTACTACTGGCCCGGAATGTTCAGGGACATAAAGAGGTATGTCCGACAGTGTACTACCTGCCAGATTTACAAGCCCAGCCAACAGAAAGCTGCGGGAAAGATGCTGACCCAGATCGCAGAAGAACCTTGGGCTACAGTATGCGCAGACTTTGTGGGACCATTGCCACGATGAAAGCACGGAAACACAACCGTACTAGTCTTTATCGACAAGTTTTCCAAATGGATGGAAATTGTGCCTCTACGGAAGGCGACAGTTGAAGGCCTTAACAAAGCGTTTCGAGAACGCGTACTCGCTAGATTTGGAGTCCCGAAAATTGTTATAACTGACAATGGAACACAATTCACCAGCAGAGAGTTCAAGCGGCTACTACGAGAGTACGGGGTTAAGCATCAACTCACCGCACCATACACGCCACAAGAAAATCCGACAGAGAGGGCAAACCGCAACATAAAGAGAATGCTTGCACAGTTTACCGGAAAAGAACAGCGAAATTGGGACGACTTACTACCCGAAATGATACTAGCGCTTAATACCAGTGTTTGCGAAGCCACCGGCTACAGCCCTGCCTTCTTAGTGCAAGGACGCGAAGCGCGAGCACCAAAAGCCCTCTACGACGAACAAAATTTCGGGACAGGCCATACGATGACGACACCAGAGGCGAAGGCAACGAAAATGCGAGAGACTTGCGCAGGAGGAAATGGCGACCAGTGGTAGGTGACCGAGTGCTGGTGAAGGAGCATCACCTATCGAAGGCGACGGAAAACTTCGCGGTAAAACTTGCGCCGAAGTATGCTGGGCCGTGCCGAGTGATGAACTTCGTTTCGCCAGTAATCGTCGAATTAGACAAGGTACACAACGGTAAGAGGAGAACAGCACATGTGAGTGAGCTGAAGCCATTTTACGGAGATGAAGAGGCCGACGCGGCAGAGTCACCAAAAATCCTTCCCCGGCATGCACCTGAGCCAAATTCGACGCAAGGCGAAGAATAGGTAAATTTCGGTCATAGACCGAAATGTGATAACTCGGCAATTGCCAAATAGGGGAGCGATTGCCTTGAAAAGGAGACCCTAATGGGAGAGAAGAAGAGAAAATATAAGAGAAAAGAGGGAAGAAGAAGAGGGAGTTTCAAAAGAAATAAGAAGAAAAATCAGTTTAAAGAAAGAAGAAGAAGGAGCTTAAAGGAAAGGAAAAGAGGAAGGAAGGAGAACGAGAAGAAGAAGAAGAAGAAGAAGAATCTTCGGATACATCATTTCGCAAGCTGGTAACACTATTCCGATATTGACATATCGATCCCTGCAAAAAAATCCGCCTTTTGGGAGAGTGGGCAACATTGCAACACAACAGCTGAATAAA